GATTTATTGCTTCCAACATCTTCATTCTTCTCCTCTCTGTGCCAGAATCATTCTACCCAAGTAATCATCGCGTCAAGACAGGGTTGGCAATTGTGGGCGCAACTTCCCAAGGCCAGCATGGGGAGAGGAGTAGGGCACAGACCATTCCTGAAGCTCCATCATCCGAGGATACAGCACCAACTCTGGACTTTATTTTTTTAATATTTATTTATTTGGCTGCACCAGGCTTAAGTTGCTGCATGTGGGATCTAATTCCCTGACCAGGTACTGAATCCAGGCCCCCTGCATTGGGACCCTGGAGTGTTAACCACTGGACCACCAGGGAAGTCCCACAATTCTGGATTTTAAAGGCAGATTAGATAATGTTAATCAAGTCTGCATAATGCTGTAAATATGATAGCTCAAAATGAAATTTAGCTACTCATTCTTTTAAGATAGGGTTGGCTCTATACTTTTAAAACTGGTGACTGCCTTAGTTGAAAATTTGGGTATATACATGTGCAATCCAGCTCATAAAATGAGTAACTAGTTAGGGAAGATGTTTTTTAAAACAAGAAGGGAAGAACTGGATTACTTTAGTAGGTTTCAGAATACTATTGCTTTTTATTTTTTAATTTTTTTCTTTTGTTTTTGGCCGTGTTGTGAGGCTTGCAGAATCTTTTTTCCCCAACCAGTGATGGAACTCAGACCCTCCATGGTGAAAGTGTGGACCACTAGACCATCAGGGAATTCCCACATTATTGCATTATAAATGATCTGACAAATAACACAGTGTCATTAAGGATTAAATTTTGAGAACTGATATATTAAAGTGGAAAAAATCTTTGGTACTTTATTTTGTAAGAAATCAGTGTTCCTTAAGCAATGTTTGTTAAGACAGTATACAAAGCCTTAGGCATAAAGTGGAAGATAATTCTACAAATACGATGTTGCTTATTGATATGGTTTATTCTTTTGGCTACTACAGTGTTTTGATTTTCTATTCATTCACCCTGAGTATTGGCTTATGCCAATACTTTGGTTTGGATCTGGAAAGCATTAGAGCAAACATTCTCTGGTTTCTTAAGTTATAAAGAGAATAAATGTCTGGGTAGTCTCCAATTAATGCTGAAGGCAAAATATTTAAAATATGACAAAGTGCTCAAACAAAGTCAGTAGAAAACTGTGATCCTTATTTCAGCAAATAAGAGCTGATGGTAGTGCTCATTTCCCTTCTGGGAAACTCTCAGGGTGGAGTCATTATTCCTGACCTGATTTTTGAGCTGAAGTCCACTGATTCAGAAAATTAAATCGCTAGATGAATAGATACGGATTTTACTAAATTCAAGTATATAATATTCATGACACAAAAGAAAATTCTTGTTGTTAGTGAAATAAAACACTAGAGAGCAGTTGGCTATTTTCAAGTTTTAGGAAAGGTGAAGTTGAACTATTGAACCATGAGGATAACAAAACAAGACTGCTCTTCTAAAGTTAACTGTCATTTGTTTCAGGAAAAATAAGTAATTTTTTACTGTGGAACTACACTACCTGAAGCTCAAATTCTGAATTATCTTAACTCTGAGATCTTGGCAACTTATTAATAGCTTCCCTGTGGGGGAAAAATTGTGAAGTAAACTGGTGAATATTTAATGAGACAGTTAATACTAAGTGGGTTTTATATATATGTAAAAGATTTAGAATATTGTCTATTACATCAAAATGTTATTTATGATAGCACTTCATGTTTACTTAGCATCTCATAAACACATAAAACATGTCAGTTACTAGGGATGTTGAAGAAAAAAGGAAAGATCTGCAAAAGTTTGTTTCTTGAACAAAAGTTTAAAAGTCTTAATAACAATCTCTTCATGTTTTCTGTCTTTTATACTTTTTCTATAATAAGCAGATATACACTTTAATCAGAAAAATAAAATCAAATTTTTAAATTTTTAAAGAATAGCTATTATGTCTCTGATCCACTGATTATCTCAAGAAAACATAATACAGTTGACCCTTAGAAACATGGAGGTTAGGGGTGCAGTTGAAAATCCAAGTATAAGTTTTGACTTTTCAGAAACTTAACTACTAATCACCTACTGTTGACTGGAAGCCTTACCAATGGCATAAAGAGTCAACTAATACATATTTCATTTAGTCACTACGTTGTGCCTGACTCTTGTGACCTCATGGGCTGTAGCCCACCAGGCTCCTCTGTCCATGGGATTTTCCAGGCAAGAATACCGGAGTGAGTGGCCATTTCCTTCTCCAGCGGATCTTCCCAACTCAGGGAAAGAACCCGGGTCTCCTGTGTGGGCAGGAGGACTCTTTATACCACGGAGTCATCAGAGAAGCTCATATGTATTATATACTTTATTCTTAAAATAAAGTTAGCTACAGTAAAGAAAATTGGGGGTCCTTTATTAGGAAAGTTTTAACAAAGAGAAAATACATTTATATGGCTGTACTGTATTTATTGATACTGTAAGTTTGTCATATGTTTATAAGATGAATCATCTGTCAGTATTTCCATCAATATTGTCTTATTTAACACAAAACACTGTAGATGTTATATGTATTAATAACATGACTCATCAAAAATGAAAGATAATGTAAAAATTCATGTTTAATTATAGATATAATGATTAATGCCTTGATAACAAGGAAGCAATACCATTGCTTTGTGGTAGCTTAGTGTAATTGATAAATTGCTTCCCAGTAGCTTAGCCTATATTCTAATGAATGAGCCATTATAAAAACCTTATGGCCAACAGTATTACAGTCATATTCATAACATAGTATTAGAAACATTGTCACATTTAAAAAAAAATTTACCTGTGATGATAGTTTCTCCAATTGTGTGAGAGAGAGGCATGCTGTATGGTAATGTAATAAAAGCAAAGTTATAAAACAGGAAGAAAGCTAACACATTCATTTTCTATTAAATACCACTCACCTTATGTCTATGTAAGAACAAACTAGTATTTACATGGGTTCTATCCATTCATGACATAGCAACTTTTTCCTAGTTTTTTTGACATTTCTAGGCTACATGGTTAGTCTGCAAGTTTTTTTTCAAATTGCCACAAATCTCCAAAATTTTTTCCAATATGTTTATTGAAACAGATCTGTGTATAAGTGGACCCATGCAGCTGAGCCCATGTTGTCCAAGTGTTAAGTATTGTTCTTCAGTTGCTGTCATGTCTGACTCTTTGCAAACCCCATGGACTGCAGCATGCCACTCTTCCCTGTCCTTCACTATCTCTCAGAGTTTGCTCAAACTCATGTCCATTGAGTCAAGTGTCAAGTATATTTCCAATTAAGAATCCAAGAAAAATAAAAATAACAACAGTATCTAAACAGATTCCCAATTATTGCTGTTACTCATCTTTTTTAAGCTTTAGGTCATCTTTCATTCCCTACTCTCTTTTTAAAAATTAAATTTCCCATTCTTTTTCTCAGGACTGTACTGACAAAAAAATGTAAAGACAAATCTTTATTATAGTATAGTTATTCATAATCTTTTCTAGTAATCAAGATGAGAGATCTTCACTTTTATTCACATTTTGTAGTTGAAATGACTGAAACTAGAATTATAAGATTACTCAACAAACTAGATAACAAAAATGTACTCTGTTTTTTCTTAAGAAAAAAAATATGCAAACATTTTATGTTGGAAGAGTTTTTGTTTTTATTCTGGCTTTTTTTTCAATAATTCTTTTCTCTTTGTGCAAAGATTTTATCCTCAGATTAGTTTCAGTTTAGTAATATGGAAAAAGCAATTTCTATTTTAGTTTTTAAAAAATTATTTAAAGCATTTAATATGTACAGGTGTTTTCAAAAGCTAATACATTTATTCATGGTAACAGCCGGTTGAAGTAAATATTACAGTTCATCTCCATTTTACAGATGAGAAACTAAGGCACAGACAATTAAATGCCATGGACCAATATTTCCGAGAGCTGAAATTCCTACTTTGCAACCTTGAACAGAGACTTGCTCTATGTCTTTACCCACCCTTCCAACCTCCCCTCCCTTCTCTTGCTTACCACTGGGTATCCCCACACTTTTAACAGATCTGCATCCAGAATCACACCTAAACCATCTGAAACCTACCTGAGCATAATCCAACAAAGGACATTAAAACTAAGGGTGAAAAATAAGCTACACAATTATGAAGTCTTCAATCAACTCCTTGAAGTGTCTTTTTAGAAATCACTACAAATAAAATATGACAATTATTTCTCTGGAAAGAAATCAAATCACTGGAAAGAGAAAAGTCCATGTGAGATGAAGATAAAGGGAGATTTGTGACCATCAAACAAGTAAATGGTATGAAATTCATGATTTTAGCTCTTAGATACTTCCCAGGAATACCTGTTTTTTTTGTTTTTGTTTTTTTGGTTAGAAGAGCAAAGGGTGCTACTCTCACTACTGACCCTAGCCCTAGGTATTCCTCGCCCCCCAAACCCACACCCCAATTCCTGTGACCTATTTTGTTCTTGAACAAAACTAGAAACTGGGCCGGGACACACCTTTCCCTCCCTGGAACAGGGACCACTCGTCCCTTAGATCATGGATTAATCAACACACTCTCCACACAAAAAGCTGGTATTTGTGAATCTACTCGAGCTCTGGAAGTTCCAGAATTTCACCGGGGAGGGCATTTGTAGGATTGCAACACTTAGTTGCAATGTAAACACAGCATTAAACTTTTGATACTGGTCATCCCCTCACTACTGCGGGGATAATATGACATGAAGTGTGATTTATTGTGCTCGTAAAATACCAGGAAGTAAGAGAACATTCTCATGCATAATCTGAGATGACATGTGCTTTAAGAGTGTATTTATGCAGACGTGGATAAAATCATAAAGTCCCAAGATACTTAAGTGTAAGTAACACATGGAAAATCAGTTCTCTCTGCGTCCCTCCTCCCTGGCCTTAATTCCCTCAATCTTAGTAACTAACGTTTGTCACGATGCCTGTCTCCTCTAAGATGTGACACCACTTCTTGCAAGGCGACTCACCCGGCCGTGGGGATTTGGGTACGCGAATGACACCCCAAGTGCGCAGATTACGCGTGAGGAGGGCGGGGCCGCTCCTTCCGGACTGGGAATTTCCCTGGCCCGGGGCTGGCAACTCGCATCCGATCAGGATAAAAGGGGTTCGCTAGGCTCCAGGAGCCACAGAGCCCGCTCAGCCACCGCTCCCGCCAGCCTTCCCGCAATAGACACAGACCCTCCGAGCTGAGACCCATGGCCCGAGCCGCGACCGCCGCCGCCCCCCGGCTCCTCCGCGCCGCGATGCTGCTCCTGCTCCTGGTGGCCGCCTGCCGGCGCGCGGCAGGTGAGACCCGGATCCCCAGGGAGGGACGGGGGTGGGTGGGTGCCCGTGAGGACAGCCGCTAACCCACCCTGTCCTTCCCGCAGGGGCGCCCGTGGTCAACGAACTGCGCTGCCAGTGCCTGCAGACCTTGCAGGGGATTCACTTCAAGAACATCCAGAGCGTGAAGGTGACGCCCCCCGCCCCCCACTGCGACCAAACCGAAGTCATGTAAGTGTCACCTCTGCTGCTGTCCTCCTCATCACCACCCACCGTCCCGATGCCCTCACCCCGTCCCCCAAATGGACCTCCCATCTCACGTGGATTCTCCCTGCTCTCTGCAGAGCCACTCTCAAGACTGGTCAGGAAGTGTGTCTCAACCCCACCGCCCCCATGGTTAAGAAAATCATCGATAAGATGCTAAACAAGTGAGTTGTAGTTTTTATTCATCGTGTGACTGTAGTCGTTCTGCCTGCTGAAAGTTATATCAGAGAAACCTAGGATTTAGCTGAAAGAATTAAAAAAAAAATTATTTCAGAATTATATTTGCCATTAAGGTCATTAATCTGCTCTGGTGTCAGAAGGACACTTCCAGTGCCTCTTGGCCTCCTCGATCTTTCATGAGTGTGGGTAAATGTATGTTTCTAAAAGATGAAGCCCCAGGGATTGAATCCCAGTCTACTGCATTGTAGGCAGATTGTTTACCATCTGAGCCACCAAGGAAACCCAAAAGGTGAAGCAGAGTTAGCCAATGATGCTAAAATGGTTCCTATCTGTTAAGGAACAAATATCGTTTACCTCAAGTCTTTCATGGGCTTCAGACCTGAGAGGTAAAACGCTTGGGTTTGGGTTGTATGGAATTGATGCTTGGTGATGAAGCTGGGGACTTTTCAGGGAACGCCTCTCCCCCGGCCTCTGCCAACACAGTGCAAGTCTAGGTTCCACCCTTTATTATTCCCATAACCCCAGGGAAAGTACTTAATCTCTTTAAGTCTCAATAACATGGGGAATAATGGTAATAGGTATTTAATGGAGTTTGCCATGAGGCTTAAGTGATGTCATGCGTGTACTTTTTTTTTAGCTCAAGGTGGCTTTATGTTCTCGCTTTTTGAAAATATTAAGATTGCTTCCACAGGCTCCATGTTCCTAATTAAATAGCATTTAGGAGCCTGGCATTTTCAGCCATACAGTGCAGCAATGGTCTAGGTAGCAACCACATAATGCAGGGCTGTGAGTCCAGTTTTTGGGGTCCTACTAACTAACGATTTTCTCATCGCAGGGCTAGTGCCAACTGATCTAGAGAGATGCAGCAGCCTCAGTGGAATTGAAGTAAAAGAAGAGAAACAAATGAATCCCGGGGCCATCTGGACTGTGTTTAATGTATTTGGCTGTTTCTTATGAGAGTTCTATTTATTTACATCTGTATTTATTTATTTTTCAAAGTCTGTGTATTGATATTCTAATATTTAAAGGTGTGAATGTATTTGGCAGTTCTCTGGACTGTTAGTTTCAAAATTTATTTTTATGTTAACTCAAAGTTAGTTTGATCCTGACTGTTATTTAATTTGAAGATGATGTGTTTTAAGTGTTCTTCACTTATTAAACTATTTTTGGGGAGGGGGTATTCCACACTGTACTATCCACTATAGTAAAGGCTAGAGACAGTTGTGGAGGGTTCAAGAAAACAGATAGATCACGATCACTGTTAATGTAGGGATTGTATGTGTATGTTTCCTTTTTGTAGAGAAGATTGTCAGTTGTTATTTATTGAAACATTTCACAGTCTGTAGTCAACATTTCTGATGTTGAACCTATCCCTTGGACATTTTATGTCTTCCTTGTAAGGCATAATGCCTTGTTTAGTGTGAGTTATCTAAATGTTTCTCTATGTCTTGGAATAGAGAAGTTTAAGTATTTATTGATGTATTTTTATAAATAACATGAAAATAAAGCTTTTTACACCAGTTTTTTGCTTAGGTTTCTTTTTTACTTCTTGACCTCTTTTATCCTCCCTCTTGAATACCTAGCACTTGGGTTTTCTGTTGCTATTGTAACAAATTATTACAAATTCAGTAGTTTAAAAGAATATACTTATTCTTTTACAATTCTGGAAGTCAGAAGACCAAAATTAGTTCCACTGGACTAAGGTCAAGGTGTCTGCATTGCTGCCTCATTCTGGAAGCACTAGGGGAAAATCCACCGCCTTGATCTTGTTAGCTTCCAGAGGTCATCTATGTTTCATAGCTTATGATCATCTTCCTGTATCTTCAAGCCATCAACATGGCCTCTTCAAATCTCTTTCTCTAGGGCACCAAAATTTGCCTCCCACCAAATGTGTTTCCTTGTTGGTTATTTTTAATAAGCAGAAGATTCAGAAAGGTGTTTTTGTTTTTTGTAACCTCCATCTTAAATGCCTAAAAGAATTTAGATTGAAAAACCTGTTTTCAGAATAGATTAGAAGATAATCTATTCTCTGCATGGTGCAGCAAATATTGTTTATCAAACATTGGCTTTTCTATCCCCAGGTAAATTGCTTCTCTCCCCAAAAGTCCCATAGCCATTACTCCCAACATCTTTTATCTTTAGCTTAGGATGGTATTTAAAGTGAGGGCTTCAGCTATTCTGGTGAGTTACTCAGTTTTCCTGAGTCTCTTCCGTGTAGATATATTATTAAATTTTGTTTGATTTACTCCTGCTAATCCGTCTCATGTCAATTTAGCTATTAAACCAGTCAGAAAAACTTAGAGAGAGGAACATTTCTTTCTCTGTGATGTTTTCTTTTGGTCCTTCTGCTCTGCCACATTACTTTCTGTCTGAATATGACTTCTCCTACTTCCTTTTTTATGAGAACCTTTGTGATTATATCAGGCCACCCAGGATAAAGCAAGATAATCTTTCCTTGCAAGACCTTAACTTAATCCCATCTGCAAAGTTCCTTTTGCAATGTAAGGTAACATACTCAGAATGTAAGGTAACATACTCACAGGTTCCTGGTAGTACAAGAATATCTTTGGTGGTGGCGGTGGTTTAGTTACTAAGTCATGTCTGACTTTTGTGACCCCATGGAGCATGCCAGGCTCCTCTGTTCATGGAATTTTCCAGGCAAGAATCCTGGAGTGGGTTGCCATTTCCTTCTCCAGGTGATCTTCCCGACCCAGGGATCAAACCCACACCCCGGCACTGCAAGTGGATTCTTTAGCACTTATGCCACCTGGGAAGCCCTACATATACTGTTGCTTCCGTGTTTAGCTCCAGATAGTCTCCTTTTAGAGTCACAGTGAAAGATAGAAAATTTGCTTGGCTCCTGAGAATGTATGGGTGATGATTTTTATCAAAAAGAGAGGTACAGTACATGCCAAGGTGTCTTGAAGCAAAGTTTTTTTCTTCTTAAACAGATTGACATTTAAACAAAAGCTCTGCTATACTTTTTATGTAGTCTGGGGTCTGTTATGCCTACTAAGCATGTAAATGATTACAATGGATATAAGTTGTCTTATGCAGATCATAACATAAGTATGTTCTCTATGTCTGCATCTCCATTGCTGCCCTCAAATAGGTTCATCAGTACCATCTTTCTAGATTCCATATATATATATATATATAAGTTAATATACTATATTAGTTTTTCTCCTTCTGACTGACTTCACTCTTTATAACAGGCTTCAGGTTCATCCACCTCCTTATACAGTGGGGGAAGGAGAGAGTGGGACGCATTGAGAGAGTATCATTAAAACATATACATTACCATATGTAAAATAGATCAGTTCAGTCGCTCAGTCTTGTCCGACTCTTTCTGATTCCATTGACTGCAGCACGCCAGGCTTCCCTGTCCATCACCAACTCCCAGAGCTTGCTCATACTCCTGTCCATCAAGTCAGTGATGCCATCCAACCATCTCATCCTCTGTCATCCCCTTCTCTTCCTGCCTTCAATCTTTCCCAGCATCAGGGTCCTTTCCAGTGAGTCAGTTCTTCGCATCAGGTGGCCAAAGTTTTGGAGTTTCAGCATCAGTCCTTCCAATGATATCCAGTGGGAATTTGCAAACCAGATGCTCTGTGACAACCTAGAGGGGTGGGGTGGGGTGGGAAATGGGAGGGAGTTTCAAGAATGAGGGGACATATGTATACCTATGGCTGATTAGTGTTGATGTATGGCAGAAACCAACACAATATTGTAAAGCAATTATTCTCCAATTAAAAACAAATAAATTTTAAAAAACCATAGGTATGTTAACTAGGAAAAATTTTCAGCAAAATTTACTCTATCCTGTTTCCCCTTAGATAGAAATCTTTGAATTCCAACACGGTGTTGCTAAAGGTTCAACTTCCAGCATAGTTGACAAACTACTGGGTAGGAATTGGCTAGTGAGAGCAGAGTCTCAGGAAAGGACTGAAGAGCAAGTAGGCACTGGGGAGATGCAGGGAAATGTACAGAAACAGTGTTGGAATGGAAACACCACCAGTAAAGGGGCACAGTTAATAGAAGACCTTATAATAAATCAGTTTACTCTTCCATGGGTCAGTGCTCCAGGTAAGAGACATGGACAGACCAGTTCATCCAGTTTCTGGGTAGATTATACCACAGTTCACCCTGCTGCTAAGTCCATATGAAACTGAACTGATCTGGATCTGGGTTGTGTTTTGTTTGTAAAATAGATGCACTTACCATGGATTTTCAGAGTCTAGTGAAAATTTAGTGAGTAGTAAGCAAATTTACAATGAAAAAAAAAACTGTCAACATTTTGTTGTAGAGGAGGATGGATTGGAAGTTTGGAGTCAAGAGATGCAAACCGTTATAGTAGAAAGGATAAACAACAAAGTCCTATTGTATAGTACAGGGAACTATATTCAATATTCTGTGTTAAACTGTAACAGAAAAGAATTTTAGAAAGAATGTATATGTATGTATAACTGAATCACTTTGCTGTATAGCAGAACTTAACACATTAAAATTAAAAATAAATAAATAAAATGTAAAATATAAAAATAAAATTTTGTTTTGTGTTAGTTACAAAATTTGCTCTGAGATGGTTTCTTTATTTTCAAGGGACTAGAGCGGAAACAAAGATTAGTAGATTATCTGTTGAATTATTTGACTAAATTTTACTTTCTTACTTTTGTGACCTAAATTTTATACACTTAATGACTCTCATTTTAACATTCTCATCTTTTATTTTTCTACCTAAGCTCATGTGAGTATTCACTTTATCACCTCCTAGACACACCGGGAAATGTTAGACTTGTATTACCATCGATCATGGTCTTCTGTTTGCATGGTGCTATAGGGAGCCTGCACACAATTTGTAGTATAAATATAAGTCCTGGTGCAGACATGCTCAATTCAGAGATCAGACTCTTACTAGCTATGTGACCTTGAGCACATTACTTAACTGCTTCGAGTTTAGGTTTTCTCACTTCATCTCTATGAAACTCTGTGCTCTCATGTATCAGATCACTTCTTGGTGTTTTCTCTGAAAACACCATTTCTGTTTTGGCTCAGGGTCTTACAAATACTGTTCTCTCTACCTGGAACATCTTTCAGCTTCTCCCCACCTCCTCGCTCATTCAGCTGCTTAATTTTTACTTGTTTTTCAGCTCTTGGTGTATCAATCACCTCCTGCAGGAAGCTCTTCCTGAGCCTTCCAAGTGTTAATGAGCTAATGAAGTGTTCCAATGCCTATCATTTTATTTTCACACTGGTTTGCTAGCGATAGGAAGTGATGAAAAGGGAAATCAACTGCCTTGCCCAAGGTTACAAAGCCTGTTAAGGGCAGAGCAAAAACATCATGCCAGGAGCATCCTCTTCCTTTTCTTTCACTACATCTGCCTTAGTGAGGCCAGCTCCACCCTGGTTGCACTCAGATTCTGTGGTATGCTGAGACATAAAATCTCCAGAAAGAGTCCCTCTGTGTATTTCTGGGTGAGGCGCATTTCTTCCCCATGACATGGTAAGTCATCAGGTCGTCTAAGACATCCTGACTGATACTCCTTGCCAGCTCCACCAGTTTCCCTTCACTGGATCATCAGGTGCTACGATCTTTACCTTGACTGATGTCTATCTCCGCATTTTCTCCTTGCTGCCAGTGTTAACAAGTAACCACTGTAATCTACTTAGCTCTCCCGAGATTTCACATGCTCCTCTATTTTCCCATTTTGCTTTATGAACAATTCACTCTGTTGTCAAAACCAGGGACCCTGCTTTCAGCGCAGACTGACTCGTTTTGCTTTACATCCAACTGGGCTCTCGTCCTGCCGTTTTCATCCTGTTAACAACTCTCATGTGAAACTCCTTCTCT